CACCCCCTCCAGGGTAGGATGCTCCACGTGTTGCCATCCACCATCAAGAAGGAAGCCACCGAGGATGCCACGGCTCCGGGATCATCCTCATATAAGAAGAAAAAGGAGTCCAAGGACAGGGCCAACAGCTCCAGGTCCTTACCCGCGGCTGGCCTCTGGGCCTGGCCCAGGCTCCTGCGGCCCTCCCCCGCTCACCCCGCTCTTTCCCTGCCACCTCGGGGCTCCTGCTCCTTGTGGTGGGTTCAGCCTTGTCTGTAACCTCCCTGAGCCCGTTTCCTCATCTGCAGAACGGGGAAACTTGTAGTGGTGCCTTAGTTATGCGGAGCCCTAAGAATTAGATGAGTCAGCATGGGCAAAGGGCTCAGTCCCTGGCACAGAGTGGGTGCTTGATAAATCGTCACTGTCCTTGTCCTTGCCCAGGCAGGTTGGGGGGAGGAGGGGACTTTAGTGCTTAGAAAGGCAGGCTGAAGAGCTCACTCCTTAAAGGCTGTGCACCTAAGAAAATATTCCTGTCACTTAGCCACACTCTGACATCCCTCTTCTGCCTCAGCTCCCACAACTGGAACACGCTGTTCATGGGCCCGAACGCTGTGGCTGACGCCATCGCGCAGAAGTACAGTGCCACCAAGAGCCAGGTGTTCGACCACGTGAGTGAGCAGCTGTCTGATGCACCCCAGTCCTGGGCCGAACGCATGGGGGCAAAAGGCAGGGAGGGGGCATCGTGCTGGGGTCGCCTGCAAGCATGGGCCTCTAGCACTGCAGTCGTGGGCATCCTCTGGGCCCTTCTGGCACATCTCAGCCGCCCTGCAGCCCTCCTCCCCACAGCCTGCCCGAGCTCCGACAGAGCCTCTTCCTTTCCCCTCTCCCACAGGAGACCAAGGGCAGCGTGGCTGTGCGAGTGGCCCTTGGGGAGACCCAGCTTGTCCAGGAAGTACGGCGCTTCCTCATCGACAACGGGGTCAGCCTGGATGCCTTCAGCCAGGTGGGTGCACTGCCCAGCTCAGCTGCACGGGCCACCAGCATGCTGGGGGTAGAGTTTCAAGTTGGGGATGTGCCGACAGATTTGAGGATCAGGCTTTTCAAGGGTGATGTTTATCATTAATTTTCAGTCTCTAAAGAAAGTAAGGAATTCACATGTGGGTTCAGACAAGGGCACAGTCTGACTGAATGGTGTCCTTCAGGGACCATATGCAGGAGGGCTACCTCTTAACCATTCTAGATCCCTCACCCTTCTCCACTCCTTGGGGCCACCCCTCTTCCAAGGAGCTGAATGCCTGAGAAGGTGCCATCTTCTGGGCCCACTTTTGAAGCACCTGGGGTGACTGAGGTCCCAAAGGGGTGCCTGGCCTGGAGCCGACTACAGATCAGCGCTGGTGTCAGGATTGAGGGGCCAGGGCCTATCCTCTTGTTGCCTGAAATGTGTCCATTGTCTCCCTCGCAGCCCGCTGCAGAGCGAAGCAAAACTGTCATCCTGGTAAAGAACCTGCCAGCAGGCACCCTGGCGGCTGAGCTGCAGGAGACCTTCGGCCGCTTTGGCAGCCTGGGCCGCGTGCTGCTGCCTGAGGGCGGCGTCACGGCCATCGTGGAGTTCCTGGAGCCCCTGGAAGCCCGCAAGGCCTTCCGACAGCTGGCCTATTCTAAGGTGGGGCTGCCCAGACCTGCTTCGGAGGGATGGAGGGCTCAGGCGTAGCGACAGTCTTAGCATGGACCTGGCCGTGGGAGCCCGGGCTAAAAACCACCTACTCTTTCCTAATTGTGAACTTGATTCCCCCACTGAGCACACCCGGGTGGAGAACGTGAGAGGGAAGCTCGGAACCCCAGAAAGCAGGCCATGGCTCCGTGCCCGATTTGGTCTCCCCGACTTTCTAGTCCCTCATGAGTTGAACTGTTGTTCTTGGTGCTTTCGGGATCTTGTGCCTACAGTAGCTTGAAAGTCAGTTCTGTAGGTGGGCTGTCTCCTGATTCTGGGTAAAAGCAAACGGACTTGCAAATATTACTGTGTTGGTTCCTTGTGGCCGCCTAACAGGTTACCACAAACTCAGTGGCTTAAAACAACTTAAATGTATTCTCACAGTTCTGGAGGCTGGAAGTCTGAAATCAGGGTGTCGGCAGGGCCATGCTCCCTCTGAAGACCCAGGGGTGGCCCCTTCTTTGCCCCTTCCAGCTCCTAGGGCACCAGGTGCCCCTTGGCTGTGGCTGCATCACTCCAGTTTCTGCCTCCGTCTCATGTGCCTTCTTCTTTCCATTTCTGTCTGGATCCAGGATGATCTCACTTGAACATCTTTTACTTAATGACACTTTGCAAAGACCTTTTTCCAAGTAAGGTCACATTCACAAGTTCTGGGGTCAGGACATGGACATATTTTCTGGGGGCCCCCTTTCAACCCACTGCAGTGGCTTCTGTTTATCTGGCATGCTCACGTTTTGCAGACTCTATCAGTGTCTGGTTTATCCTTTCAAAGAGCAGCTGTGCACACACATGCACATGCATGGCCTGTGAGTGTATGTGGGGGAGCGAAAGCATGGTTGAACGGCCCTACTGCACTTCCTGCGGGAGAGCTGCATTTCATCCCTGGTTCTGTCCCTCTCCCCCAACACACACACTCCCTGGTTGGAGAATCCATAACGGGACACAGTATATCCAGTGACAACAGATGTTCGGCCCAGCCCTGGGCTGCAGCAAGAGTTCCTGTGGTGTTCTCAGGGTTCAGGCAGCATGGAGGGTTCTGGGCTGTGCTCCCCTCCTGGCTCTGTTCCAAGGTGAGCCACTCATACTCTCTTACCCTCGGGCTCTTCATCTGTGTAAGACACTGAGTCCCTCCCCACCCGTCTCTGCAGTTTCACCACGTCCCCCTGTATCTGGAGTGGGCTCCAATGGGCGTCTTCTCCAGCTCAGCCCCACAGAAGGAGGGACCCCAAGACACACCGGTGGAACCCTTGGATCCAGAAACTGGTGAGGGCTGGGTCTGGAATCAGGGTGTCCTGGGACAGTGGTGAGAGGAAGGGAAGGGGAGTGGGGCAGCACTAAATACTTTGAAAGGTTGAAAGGTTTTTTTTCATCCCAGAGACCAGTGAGTTGCAGACTCTTGGATTTCACAGGCACATGAAATGTTTTTTTTTAAAAAATAGAGTATAAACATGATGGGTGCAACATAAGGCAGTCAGTTCTTTAGCTTGTCAGTTAGAGATTGTACGGAAAATAAACTATACTCTTACTAGCGGTTCAGAACACAGCAAGTGGAAAAAGGCCCTTATTTCACACACTCACCAGGGTGCCTCCTGGGCGAGGGTGGCTCAGAGGAGAGTTACTCTGGAGCGTCCTGGGAGTGGCACAGTGCCCTCTGGCGTCCAGTGACTGCAAAAGCAGGGAAAGGAAGGCGCACTGGGGACAGCACAGTTCTTTCTTGTGGAGACAGTTCTGCAGATTGTAAGATGTTGCACATTTGTGGACCCCACTAGAAGTGTCAGGAGTACTCCTAGCGATTGTCATCATGTGAACCCCCCATCCCCACATTCCCAAATCACCCCTAGGGGGCAGTACAGCCCCTAGTTGAGAACCACTTAGCCTGGAGACCCTGACAGCATTTTACAAGTTAAGGCCTTTAAAAAAGTTTTCAAAAGGACTGTGATGGTCCTTCTAGCCAGGGGTTAAGATTGTGCCCATCAGTAATATTCCTCCCCCTTCCCTTTACTCTCTTACAGTTACCAGTTTATTAAAACAAGAGTTAAAAAAAAATAAGCCCCCTGCCTTCCATCTCCATTGTTCTTATTTTTAAAAAGATGTTTAACAGAAAAAAACAATGTATGGGTCGGGGCTGGGGCTGCTGGTTTCAAGCCCTGCCATGTTGCCGTCAGGTGAATCCCCCAGAGCTCATCTCCCGGGCCTCTTTTTGCCCTTTTTGTTCCTTTTCTAACACGTATCACGTACATAATCCCCTCTGTCCCCTGCTCTGTTCCTTGTAACCTACTCCCCCCACCCCCCTCCCCGGCCTATCCACATTGTTCCTGAAGCTTCTGCAGGTCCCCATCCCCATCCTTGCTGCACAGACAGGGTTCTGCCAGCCCCAGCCCTACGCTCCGAGGGAAGGCGAGCAGGAGGGGTGTGCACAGAGCTTTTTGTTCACCCCCCTTTTGCAAAGCCCTCGGCGCTCTGTACCGGTCCTGAGGGAGGGGGCTGTGTGTGTTTTATCTCCCCACAACCAAGACCCTCACCTCCAGATAAAGGGCTGTGAGTGGGGGCAGGTCCTGGAAAGCTGCTCGCAACTGATAACAGTCTGTGCTGGCGGCTTCGCCCAGAGCGCAGAGGGGAGGGAGCGGCGCTAAATTCTGCTGCCTGATTATAATAGGGCCCCATGCGGCAGTGCGTGACTGGGTTTTGTTGTGCCAACTGTGGATGGAAGTGCGTTCTCCCCGGCCTCTCCCAGCTCCTCCAGCCCACCCTACTTTTAACTCCTGCCCCCCTCTCCCTAGCTGTGGGCCTGGCCCTGCCTCCTTTCTTACTACTTCCCTCTTTTTCTGGTTCCTGGCGATTTCATTGGCAAACATCTATTTGAGTTTCACAATTCCTCGTTTTTGCTTTTTGCCTTTCAACCGGACTGTCTGCCTGCTCGGGGCCAGGAGCAGAAGTGTGTGAGAGAGTGTGTGTGTGTGTGTGTGTGTGTGTGTGTGCGTGCGTGCATGGGCATGCACACGTGTATGTGTATGCCTAACTCCATTTTCCAGGTAAGGATGCTGGGGCGCAGTGGTTAAGACAGTTGCTGGGGGCCACACAGCTGGTAGTCGTATGACAGGGACTCCCCCCAGATCACTCTCATCTCCAAGGCCTCTTGCTTTCCCCAGCTCTGCGCTACTTCCCAACTGCAGTCTCCAGGCCCCCTTCTCGTTTTTTCCAGGCCTCCTTTTTTCCAGCAGATCTCAGGACTCATTAGTTCTTCCAGGGCCCAGGGGAGTTACAGGTGCAGGGAGGTGGGTACTGGGGACACAGAGGTTTAGGGAAATCGGATATCTCTGTGCTGTTGGAGGAAGGCCAGGCTGCCTTCAATCACTTTTATTTCAATCTACATGTCCCGCCCAGATGTTGGAGTCAGGGGTGTTGGTTAACTCATTAGAAGTGGGAGGAACCAGGGGAGCCAGGCTGGTAGTAGGTCCTGGCTGCCCTCACAGTCCCCTCTTGTTCTTCCTGGGCCCGGGCTGAGGGCAGCTTACCCACCAGGGAAGGAGGGGCTCCGTCTGGTTCTAGGGTGCCTATGCTGACTGTCAGCTCAGCTCTTTCACTAACCCAGACATCATCCCTTCTGGGGCAGGTCCCTGTGGCCTTTAAACAAGTACTTGGAAGACACCAGCCCCTGCTCCTGGGCAGGGAGGCAAGCTGGAGTGGACGGGACTCTGGCCACCCTCAGAGCTGCAGGGCTCCCTGTGCGGCTGTGCACGCCTGGGATGCCACACTGGGTTCTGGCTGGAGCCCAGGCCCTTAGGGGAGGCCAGGGGAAGGGCCCTCGGTCTTTGCCAGGAGTCTGCTCAGGCTGGAAGTGGGGAGGAGAGTGCAGAGCCCTTGTTGGCTGCTGGCTACCACGAGTAGACCGCTGCCTGGTTCAGAAGCCACATGCATGCCTTTGAGTCATTGCCAGGATTTTTATACCATGGGTTTTCCTGTAAATCCAGACTTTCAGCCTTTTTTGAGATATCTGAACATCTGAAGAGTTGACTTTCCTACGTGGCAGCAGTTGGCCAGTGTCAAGAAGGGGCCGCTCTCTTAAAGCGCCATGAGTCCTCTTGGTCACCATCGTCCCCACCATTCTTTTCTCTAAAAAAAGCCTTTTTTAGTCTTCCATGACCCTCTCTCCCAACCTGAAATGCCTGAGACTTAGAGTTCAGATAGAAGAGCCCCCAGAATTTTCCTTGGGCTCCCCATTTGTGCTGTGGCTACTGTGTCATTAACAGGTAGCACTCGTAAGGCACTGAGCCACATGCCTGGTACCACGTGGAATCCACTTGGTTCCTTTCTTTCTCCTTTCATCTCCGAGACTCAAACGCAAGGAGAGCCAGTGGGTGGCAATGTCACTCCCACTGAAGGTCATGGTGTTCGTTTCGATTGAAGTTCTCGTTGGGAACTGAGTCTTAGTGACTGCATAGCTTTGCTTCCCCGTTTTTAGTGATAGTTTTACACCATGGGGTCCCTTGCTGGGTAAAGTGTGGGGGAAGGATCCTTTGTGTAGATTTCCTCTTTTTGTCCTGGAGAGAATCCGGGTTCTGGCTTCACCTCGGTGGGAGGGAGCCAAGGGGTGGAGGCGCCTGTTCCACTGATGTTCAACAGACATTGTCACTGTAGCCACTTCTATTGGTGTTTCAAAGGCTTGTTCTATGACAAAGTAGTTGACAGTTCATTGGGACTTGCAAGCTTTAGACTTACAGCAGAAGGGGGGGGGGGCAGA